AGAGCGGTTGCCGGCATGGACAGCTTTGGCCAAGGCTAACTGACAGTCTCACAAACAGCTCATGGCCGTGATTTAGATGTTGCAGCGCGCCAGGGATCATTCCCAATGTACAGTTTTCATGCAGCCACCCTGAGAGGGTGCGGGTTTAACAGACTTGGCCAGATGATGCCATTTGGCCTCAGGGTCAGAGAACTGGCCTAGGCACCAAGTAGTTTGCTGGTTGCTCTGACCAGTGCAGCTGCTCAATGCCGTCGGAGAGAATTCATGTTGTTTTTAGCAGTACTCCACTATAAGGAAATTACCTCACCCACACATTTTTGACATCTCATTTCTGTTTGTTTTGTTTTAGACATCTCATTTCTGTCTCAATTCTGTTTTTCAAATGAAAACTTAATATTTTTATTAAGAATATTTCAGTCTCTGTCTCTTTTGGGCTTCTTTTACAGCTTTTTTTGGCGAAAGAGGAAAATATTTTTGTCTTCTGCTTCTACATTGACAATAGAATTTGTCTTTGCAATTTTTAGGAAGATAGTAAAAGGCATGTTGTCTTCAGTACCAGCAGTGATGATGATGATGTGGTAATTCTGCTATTGTTGATAATGCATTATTGGCACACAATTTTAGGAGCTGCCTTCTGTATGAAGAAGTGATCCTTCCACATATACCTAAAAAAACCCCACCACTATATGTAAGAAAAGGGAAAAGAATAAGATGCTGAGACACAAACTTACTATGCAGCCCACTTCTTAAGAAAGAAACGAGTCATTTAAGAGCTTTGTCTTTGCAGTTTCTTGGGATGGCAACCTCTTATTTCAAGGAAACAGTAATTCCGTCAGCATTATCGCCAAAAGTCATGTATTTCTGTGGTGCTTTTAGGTAGACAGAATGAGCTGCGTGACAAGAACACCTAGAAGAACATGCACTTTAAAAATCCTCTGATTTTCAAATAGTATCTAGGTCATATGATACCCACAGGCATGATTCATCCAGCTGGGCTTGATGCCAGTCAGCAACTCCGTGGATCTGACACTCCAGGAATACTGTAAAATTATTAAAGCTGTGGTTTTTTTCTTCAAATAGTGCTCTTGATGATAGCTGTAAAAAATACAGCGTATAATTTATAGTTCTTTTCTGAAAGAATTAATTTCATTAAGTACATGCAATAAGTACAGTATGCACTAAAGAGAATGCAGAGCAGACCTGGCTGAATGAGCCCAGGTAGCTTTCCTCAGCCCTGCAGACTTTCATTTCAAAGATTGCTATCTTGATATGAAGTCCTGTTTGAGGGAGAAGTAGTCTTACCTGAGTGTATCTGCTTGAAGCCCAGCGAGCTGTTACGGGTTGATCTTAGTTAGCTACAGTGAGCTAAAAACTGCCAGTGTTCTACCTCTTTTAGGCTTTTGTATGAAGATGATAGTTGTCTTGAGGGGCAGAAACCCCATACTCACGCATTTTCATTTTTTTTGCAATGAAGTTAGTTTCCAAGAGATGAGATCATGCTTATTTTTAGACATCTGTGTTATGCAGACAGACATTCTTAATTAAAGATTCAGCAAGCCTTGTTCAGGAAACCATCAAGCTGCATTTTTAAAAGATGCGCAAGTGTCTAGGAAAACAAAAATATGTGTAGCTGGGGTGGGGGTTTTTTTAAGATGTACCAACATGTTTATTTCAGTGAGCACTTACAGGAGTAGATTCTTCTGCGGCTTGCCAGGGTGCTTACCTTGCATTTCTAGGTGCCTGTATACTTTAAAAATGTAGGCCCTAGTGATTTGGAAAACAAGCTACCTCTTTTAACTCCAACTTCTGAAGAGTCTCATACAGTTGTTTTTTTTTTTAAAGCTTTTTTAGAGAGTAAAGGCTGATGTTCCCACACGTTCCCCCACGTTGAACTAAAGAGACAGCCTTCTAGAAATGAGGGGAGGAAGTATAACCTTTGCCAACTTGTAAAGAAATAACAGTGTTTAACTTTTACAGATTTAAAACTAAAAAAATAATGTTTTCTCCTTTGTCTTCCTGAGTTTGTGACTTCCCATCCTGTGAAAGTGGGACAAGAGAGGAGGAATGTTCTCAGGTTTGCAAGCATGGCTGGATTATGGTGGACTTGCTCTGAGCATTGTTTTCTTTTTTCTTTCTTTCATGTAGATAAAGAAGAGGCAACAAGATGTGGTGAGGTTTCTGGAAGCCAATCGCATAGAGTTTGAAGAAGTGGATATCACAATGTCGGAGGAGAAAAGACAATGGATGTATAAAAACATTCCTGAAGATAGGCAGCCCGCGCAAGGCAATCCACTGCCACCACAGATATTCAGTGATGATCGGTACTGTGGAGTAAGTAGCTGTTATCAACAGATAATATGTTAGTACACCCTGTTGACCATTTAAAAAGTTGGGACTTCATGTTGAGCTTTCTGTAGTAGTATCTGAATTAATAGGAGCAGGTGATGATCATACAGTGAAAATTAACATAATTCATCTGTAAACCCTAAAGTTGTCTTCATCTGGCGGATTCCCTCCATGAATGTAAGAATTTGTAGTGACATATGCTTCATGTACAACTTATTGATGGTAAAGTGCCTTGTGAGACCATTATAAGCTGGGGGTTTATGGTTTTCTTGCTGCTTGGGTCTAGTCCAAGCATGAAAGTTGAGAGGGAAGTCTTTGGCACAGTAAATGAGAACATTGGCTAGATTGAGTTATATTGTCACTGTAATTAAGCTCCTTCTCTGCTGCTGTCATAGTGTAAATTTCATTTATTCTCAGAGAACCTTTATGCAATCAGAGTCTCTAAGATAAATGAAAACTATTTGCTGTTTGAATTGTAGAACAGTTTTATTTTTCCCTAAAGCAAAGCAGCTGGAGGCTTGTCTTCCTCTGCTGAAAGACTGCTAAGCGTGAGAGCCTGTGAATCTAACAACAGATTCATGGGTGGGCTGGTTTCTCTGACAGTGTAAGCTGCAATAACTTCTCCATCCACTGGTGCAAGCTGAAGTGGTAGCCTTTGACTGGTATCTTGAGAAAGACACCACACGAATGTTTTACTCTCCTACTCAGCCAGCATGGTACGCTGCAGCCCTGAGTCTTGGGCACTGTTGTAGTGTGGGAAAAAATTGGACTCACCTTTGAACAAAATGTTGTAAAGAGCACAGCTGGGCCCTCTTTGCCTTGCTGTGTCTTTTCATACTTCAACCATGTGACCTGTACATCCCGTAGGACGCAGGTTTGAGGTACCTGTTAGACTGACTGGTGAGAGAAAGGGAGCTTTGATGTGCGGCCGTGGCTGCATCAGGAAGTGATTGGGTACGGTTAGTCTGGTAATTCAGTAGGAGAATGAAACGGGAAGAGGATCTCTGTGGTTACAATAGCTGCACCAGAGTAAATGTGGGCATTGTGTGGGTTTCTAACTACAATGTGGTGAAGATACATTGAAGCTGGTTCTAACTTAGTCCCTGCCAGACTGAACAGTGCTCTAACAAAGCTGCTTCTCGCTGATGGATCGTTCAGGTCTGCTGATTATGTCTTCCTACTTCGAGGTAAGAAAAGTCAGTTAAAGAAATGTATCTGGGACGTGGAAGGGATTTTGACCCTCACTGATGGAGCAGCCCCTCACCTACAAATAGGAACATTTACATTGTTCTGTGTGATTTTATTTTGCCTGGGAAATACAATGTTTTAAGCTGTTGTTTCTTACCCTTTCAGCTTGTCTTTATAGCGTGTTTAGTCTTAGAAATTGCTGTTTGGAATTAGCAAGGAAGAAGATGCCATGCAACATGTGAGATGATCTTGTTAATCCGTCTGCTCAGCTGACAGCCGTTTTGGTTGAGCAGAGTTAATCTTATTACTAGACCTCACTGTCTGCATGAACATCTTCAAAGAGCAAACATGCCTTGAAAATAACTGTATTTTCTAGGGTGAAGGAAGCAGTACGTGCAGGATCTGCAACATTCATCAGTTCGCCTGCTGCATTAGGTAATGAAGTTCTTAGGTAATAGAGTAGAGGCAAAACATTAGACAGGAGGCAAAGGAGGTCAGCGCTGGAAAGGAGGTTAAAATATCACAATTGGTTGAAGTCAGCAGACATTGCCCATCTTGTCTCTCTCTGTCATTTCCATGGTGAGCTTTTTCAAATGTCTATCTTGACATAAATAGCTAAAAAAAAATCACTGTTAAATAACTTAAACTGAAAAAATGCCCCCCGAGTTATCTGTTAGTTGAGTTAGTGAAAACTGTAGCTTCTCATTCCTGATTTGTGTCCAGGCAATTTCTAACCCAATTTGCTCTGTTAACAAACGCTGTCTGTTTTTCTGCCTGCCAGTTCTACAGTCTCACCAGGAAACTGCTTATGTACTTATTCTGCCTTACATGTGGTTACTGACAGTACAGGCTGACTGACTTACAATATAGACTGGTCAGATCCATTGCTGTTCCTCTAAATATATGAGGGCTAGACAAGGCAAAGCAGAATAGGTACACTCTTTATTTCGGTCATGTTATTTCAACAGAGGTTCACAAGCACGTGGTGTATGAGCCATGACCCAACGTCATGTTCATAGCCATACTGATTTTTCTGTGTTAGTAAAAGCATTAATAGGTTGGGTTTTTTTTCTCCCCATTTACTTTTTAGTGGAAAACCTCGGTAATGCACAAGGGTATTATCTCAGAATAGATTTTTCTGACTAGGACATTACTATTTGAAATAATCACTTTTCAGAATGTAACTGCAGTACAGAGGAAGTCTGTATTCAGTGTTTTCAATAAGTATCCAAAATGAATTGGTGTCAGGCATTTGAACATGTGATAGCTGGTGTAAGAGGGGAGAAGGGTACAAAAAGATGACTGATGCTTACTGGTTCACAAAACACCTTATACCACAGGAGGAGGGATCCTCCTGGTACCTACAGACAAACTCCATGTTCTGAAGCGTGAACAAGACCTTGAAATTTTTCTGAGTTGATGTAATGGCAAACATCATCATTAATCTATCTTGTCCTTTTCTCAGTCTTCTGGGATGCGTTCCCCAATTTTTCAGTAACAAATTCTGCTAATGGACTTTGAAATAAAGTACTCAGAAAAAAAGAAAACATTTTTATTTCCTGCGAACGAGATAAGAGCTGTGAGCACACAAGAACACAAATCATTTGATTGATAATCCAGTGCTATGTCGTAGCACTGACATGACAATAATTTACATATTTTTATGACTTTATAATCTGTTGTTTGATCTTAATGACATTGCTACAATATTGTAAGTGTGTGAGAAGAGACTACATTTCAGACAAATCAAACACATGAATCTGATTTTCTAATTTACTGTAGAGTAATTCCAAAATTACTACAGTTATCTCGCTCTAGTTAGTGCTATGTAAGAGTAAGGAAATGTTAGTGCCTAGTGCTTGTTCCAAGAGGGAACTTGTACAACTCAACTCATGGATTATTTTATGCCAAGATAAATCTCCTTGAGGTACACACTGGGTTTCCCCCATCCTGCTTTACCCACCAACTGCACGCTGGCCCTTGAGCAAAAGGGTTGGGTTGTTGGCCACTGAAACCAGTTGTGTCTCAGCTGGTTCCTTACAGGGCTCATCCTCAGTTAATTTTTAGCAGCTCCTGCTGTAGTACTTTGACATGCAGCTATGACGTACAACTCAACTCATGGATTATTTTATGCCAAGATAAATCTCCTTGAGGTACACACTGGGTTTCCCCCATCCTGCTTTACCCACCAACTGCACGCTGGCCCTTGAGCAAAAGGGACCACACGAATGGGTTTGCCTTTTCCTGAGGGAAGAGCAGCCCACATTGTCTTTCCCAGCCACTGTTCTCCATAGCAGAGAGGTTTTACTCACTTGACTTGTTTGGTGATGACGTGTGTTTGGCATTCATGGGTAACCTGTTCAATGCATCCTGTTTCATCAGCGGCGCTGAGTCTAGTTGGAGGCCGGTAACTAGTGGTGTCCCCCAGGGGTCAGTACTGGGCCCAGGCTTGTTTAACTTCTTCATCAACGACCTGGATGAAGAGTTAGAATGTACCCTCAGCAAGTTTGCTGATGATACCAAACTGGGAGGTGTGGTAGATACACCGAAAGGCTGTGCTGCCATTCAGCGTGACCTGGACAGGCTGGAAAGTT